TTAAATTTCTTAAGTTTTTAAGTGCTTGTTGGGGACGTTAGATCCCCAGAACTCACTGGGAAAAGGTCCTAATTTTGTAATTTATGCTGAATTTTGCGAATTTTTATGGTTTCGCGCCAAAGACTCATAGCTGACGGATTGTTTTACTACGCTACTTTGTGGCTTTCACCAAGGTTGTTTCTGTCATTGTATAAATAAGCTTGAATTGAGCGTTTAGCAACCTCGAATTTTCTGGCTGCATGTAGAATACATTCGCAACGCATTATCAAGACTCTAGTTAGCGGGGCCTGTGAAAGTCGGATTAGAATAGCATATCGTATGACTGTATCGTTGATCTTCGTTCCGTTTACCCAGTAAGGTGAACTCGTAATAGCATTCAAGCATATCAGTGGTGTATATATAAAATAACTACTTTATTACTGAATACCCCAATCATGAATTGAGAGTTTATTTTCACAGAAAGAGAACGAAAACAAACATGATGTAAATTATAGTTTGAATGTTATGTTTATCAGGAAAGAGTAAAAGTTCCAAGTATGTAATACGTTCATATCATATCATATCATTTTCACTGTAAAAAAACACCAGATAAACTGTTCATGAACGATTCTAAATGATTCAGATTTTTTAATTACGGTATATTCTACAAAGTCATAGGTGCAGTGAATAGTAACTTGCTTTACTGTTTTAATATTCTAATCCCGATTAATTCAATGGGATAAAATAATTAAAGCAGTAAATTCAGTTTATATCAGTCAATCATTCTAGTTCAATGCCTTATCTGTTTACACCTGTGAATATTCTGCTATATAGCAGATATTATTCTAGAAAATTAAGGCATTCTGTATTTTAAAAAAATGTTCTCATTATGATCAGGTTAATCAATAATTAATGGCCATATGATAACTTAACACAGAGTTGAATATTGCATTATTCCAATGTTCTGATTATTATCTTCATTAGTGTGTTGTCTTGTCATGATCTTAAATAGATAAGACAACTTACTTACTTACATACTTACGCCTGTTACCCCCAATGGAGCATAGGCCGCCCACCAGTTTTCTCCAACCAACTCTGTCCTGGGCTTCCCTTTCCAGTTCTGTCCAATTCTTGTTCATTTTCCTCATATCTTTCTCTATTTCTCGGCCCAATGTGCTCCTTGGCCTTCCTCTTTTCCTTTTGCCTTGAGGGTTCCATGTGAGGGCTTGTCTCGTGACGCAGTTAGGTGCTTTTCTTAGTGTGTGTCCTATCCACTTCCACCGCTTCTTCCGGGTTTCCTCCTCCACTGGAATCTGGTTTGTTCCCTGCCACAGTACGTTGTTGCTGATCGTGTCTGGCCAACGAATCCGAAGTATTTTGCGTAAACAACTGTTAGTAAACACTTGTATCTTTTGGATGATGGCTTTGGTATTTCTCCAAGTTTTCACTCCATACATTAGAACTGTCTTGACATTTGTATTGAAAATCCTGATTTTGGTTTTGGTTGAAAGTTTTTTGGAGTTCCAAATACTTGTCAACTGTAGAAATGCAGCTCTTGCTTTGCCAATCCGCGCCCTCACAACATATTAACTTTTAATAAAGCATAGAATTTATGCAAGAAAACTGAAGAAAGTTTTCTATTTTTTTAATAATTTCACTTGTATCTGGCGTCTACAGTAAACAGAAAACAAATGTAAAGTTAAAAGAAAAAAACAAGTAATTGAAAATAATATTATGAGTTTGTTTTTATTTTACTGTCGCCCATTATTGAAATAACTCAGTTTGTAGTATGTAAATGTCATAGGAAAAAATGTCAACAGTTACATAGTTTTTATTCGTGTCTAATAATAATAAAAATAATGGTACAGCGATGTTGTTTCCCAATTGAAATATGCTAAAACACTTCTGATCATATTAGAGTCTTACAGTTTCAAGTTAAAAATACTCATAATTGAAGTAACGGTAAGCTGAAAAAATGCATGATATTATTTAATACTGACGATCAATAGACATGAGTTAATTGAACATGCATACATTAAGATGATATACCTGTTATATTTTCTGTCATCTTTGTAGTTTGTTCACATTTTTTATGCAAACTTTCTCAACAGATTTAATCGATAGAATGAGATCACTTATTGAATACATTAAACTTATATCAAAGCTTTCTATAGTGTTGTTTAGAGTAGCTATATAAAAAAAACACTCTACATGAATATTAATGATGCAGTATTGTCTTGTTCAGTGAATAGGAATCACACAAAAAACTTATAAACACCCACTATTCAGCATCGTAAACCGAACACCGGTCAAGGTATCACAGTATGTATTTCTCCGTTCATCAAGAAAGTCATATTTTTTTATGCACGTCACTAGGCATGCTTCAAACTAGTACGGGTTCACCTTAGTCGATAAACGAGAATGGGACAATGAACCATAGTCCAGGTAGGCTACACTGATTCGTTGACGCAAAGGTACTAACGAGAAGTCTTGATATAGCGTAGAAATTATATTCTATAAACACCCAACAAGCACAATGCATTCAAGCACAAATCGCGTTTATTAATTCACCATAGAGACGTCCTTGGGAGAGTCACAAGAATAGCACACTAAAATAACACAGTAACCAATCACAGCCAAGGATTCTCCTGGTGGGAAATCTGATCTCAAGGTCAACTGATCAGCCCATGAATAAAATCCAAAATAAAGACATTGATCAAGCGATCTCTAGGGATTCTAACATCCCCAACAGACTTAAAGAGTTACTAAAATATCCTAAATTAAACTGATAGATATGAAAGAAAAAAACTACTTTTTGATTATTTTTTTCCTTTGAATGATCTTTATTCTTCATTGTCTTATGTCAATAATCATTACCTTAGGTGAGTGTAAATGTTATCTTTATGTATACTTCTATTTTTACTACTATTTTTCAGTCTCATTCTTAAACTCCCACTTTATCAGATTCGTTGAAGTGCTTATTAGGATTTATTCAGTTTACCATTATTACAAAGCTCTTTACTGCTTTTATATACAGACAGTTATCTCACAAACTGTAATGGCTATATAAGTGCACTTTCATGACCTTTTTATCATTATCATCAACATTCCTTCATTCATATATGTAAATTCTGATCATGTTAATCATGACATTTCAGATATTTTAAATATAACTTGTACTTGCAAAGTTAAATGGATAGTAACATGTTGTTATCTGACAATAAATTCTTATTAATATTATTAATTGAAATTTTTCATTCTTTTACTGAGACGAGACAGTTGTTCAGTGTTTCTAAGTTTCTAATAGAGTGGTCTAACATTGGCTGATTCGTGATTGCAATATAACTCAACAGTCTGCACAATCTTATAATGATATTCTTTTTAAATTTATTCCAGACCTTTCTTGATATCAACAATCGATTTAGTTTGAAATTAATTTTTATTCGTTTCAATTTCATTTATCAATATTATACGTAATATGTTCTGTTTATTCATAGGTGTTTATCTGTGAAGAGCTAACTATGGTAGAAGTTTTCTTCGCATTGATTGTTTTTAAATTCACATTGTTCGAAGATCTTCCCTTCTATTAAAAAAGTCATTGTTCTGTTAGAAGTGCTTCGCTGAATTCTGTAGATTATGTCCTCTAACAAAACAAACCTTACTAGATCTGTTCATTATTTCTGAATAATTCTCCTTTTGGTTAAAACCAAAAGTTTTACAGGGCGTTTATTGTCGAATACGTTAATATTGATTTAAAATCAAAAGTTTGTAGATATTGTTTAATGGTTTGTGATAGACAGTGTATATTACTGAAATATAATTATCCACTACTTCCTTAGTTTTTTTTCTTGGTTTTTCAGCTGAAGTTTCTCTGTGATGTAAAAAGTATTTTTCACGTTGATTGTGTTTAAATCCTAATAAATTAATTCATGAGAAGCATCATAATATTTAAAATGCTGATCTTGAAAACTTCGATAAACTGTTTGTTGACTGATTTGTGATTACCACTGGAATCTGAAAGAAGCATTTCATCCCATTTGAGACTTATGGTTTGAGTGCACCTCAATTCTATTCTTGATGTTCATACAAATACTAGAATCCAATACATGTTGTTTCATCTAATAACGTGTTAACTTCTGAGCTAGTGAGTTTAGATAGTTACTCACTTTTTCAACAGGCGTACAATATTATCTGCAAGGTTATTTGTATTTTCAAACTAGTGATATTCAAGTATGAACTTGATTCATCTGTTTTATTGTATATCAGTCATGGAATGGCTGTTTGACACTAGTCTTTAATAACAAATTAAATTATGTTATTTTGGATGTCAATTGAAACTGATTGAATGAGAAAAAAATTTTTACAAATAATTACGTAGTTTATTAGTATAATTTGAGTTTATTCATGAAATTGTCAATTTACCAAGTGTTCAATTTGTTTAAAAGCTCATAATCCTAATGATACTTCAATGAAATTTGCTCTATAATTACTATAATGTCCTATTATGTTTTAATTTGTATTCAAGAAACTTCATCGATAGAGCATTAAAGAACAGTATTATTCATATCTAACAATGTGTTAATGACTTTAACACCAATAGAACTCATAATTACACACTTCGTTGACAGAATGATTTCTACATACGTTGTATATATATTTCGAAAAAATGCTTATTTTGTTTATCATCGTTGGTAATATCATAAGTAAATTTATCATTATAATGATTAGGTAATCGAAGTAATCTTCTCAGGATGTACACATGATTGAATGAGAATGATCATCTGCATTCTTTAACATCAACAAGGGAAAGATTCAAACCCTGTGAAATGAAATAAAATCGATTTTGTCAGTAGGTTAGTTCAACTCATACACAAATAATTGTATTCATTATCAAAATTCACTAATCCACTGATAGACTGTTGATTCAATAGTCAATGATTCCAATGTTGTTATCATAACCTCATCCTAACATTATTTCTATTAGTGATTTCATGTAAAATGTCTTTCTTTTCTTTTTCTAGGAAAAATTTAGGCTGGGCATCGACATGTAATGTTGTTGGACAAACAATTGGTTATGTGACTGCATTTATTCTATTTTTATGCTTAGAATCGCCTAATATTTCAAATAGTTATCTTCGATGGACACCTATTGAAGGTAAAGGATTGATTACTTTTTCTGGTAAGTGAAATATTGTCCTTTTTTCATCATTCGTTAGCATTTTTTTAGCGAGTTAGTTTTTTTTGTGGGATGGGGTCACTAAACCCACGCCCAACCCTTCCCCTTTATCCGGGCTTGGGACCGGCAGTAGACTCAGAGGGGCTCCAGGTGGAGTTTTTTTCATCATATATATGTATATATTTAATTGTTTGTTTGTAGGTCAACGATATCCTGAGTTTGGTTTCATTATTGGTCTATTTGAGTCCTAGGCAATTAAAATTGGAATAAAAGCTTCATGTATATACACTTGCCTTATTAGTTACTTCCTTTATTAAAAGATAACCGTTCAACCCCAATATCACTCAATCCTTTTATTAATAAATTGTTCCAATAATCGATCGATCAATCGGTAATTTGTAGTTCGGATTATCACAATGATCTTTGATATTAGTTATTCAATTACTTTTCTTTTAAGTTTGCTATTTTGTTATAGATTTCCAATGTCACTGTTATCCCATCATTTTTTACTTCTGGTAATAGAAGGTTGTTCTTCTTTTTTTACTAAAAAGCCATCTTCTTTTATTTTTTTTACTTTAACATTTGGTTGATATTTTTGTCGAACTTTTGTCTTTAAGTAGCAGAAACAACTTGTAGGCGTGATTGAAAGCATGCGATTTTGTTCCAGGCTTAGTTGATTAGGAATACAGTATAGCAGTGACATTCGAACTAACGATCGAAGTAATTCAGCCATTATAATTAATTTTTTGTTTGTCTAAATGGAAGATTAGTTCATTTGTAAATTATAAATCATTTTTAACTTGATGTTTTTTTAATGTTTATTAGTTGAAATATGTTTTCGATAGTATAAGGATTTAGTTTTGAAAATTTCAAGTTTTGAGTGATAGAACTTTACTGTTAATTAAGATATGCTGTTCGTAGTTTTAATAAATGATCAGGTATGTGGAGAATTCGACAGATGTGCATAGGAAGATTTAGCCAATCATCTAATCTCTACTTAGAGGACGACGATAGATCAATAAACATGAATATAAGTTTAATTTCTGATGAATTCAAGAGATCAATTCAATCATGAGATATTTTGCATTCTGAACTGACTTCAACTGATAAAAGCCAGGGAGATCTGGACAGTTGTTTTATCCTATAATGAAACTCATCAACAATGTGCAGTCATAAACACACTCAATCTCAAGACTTGGAAGTATTCACTGGTCTACATTTCCAGAAAACAGCTAGACAATTTCTTAGTTTCAATCGTTTCACATCTGAATTCGCCCTATCGCAAAAATATATCTGTAACACGTTTACTTGTTTAAAATTGATCGGAGTATGCATCAATATGTATAATAAGTATATGAAAAAATCATTACTTGAACGAAGTTTGCTGCATATCAGTGTGGATGAGAGTGACGTTTTTGTAGAGAATTTTGAAAGCTAAGTTAAGTGTCAATCGTTTTAGTTGATATCATTTTCTAAATTATAAAACCCATAAAATCTTGATCATTATACGATGACTTACTTTTAAAATGTATAAATTGTTCTATATTTGAGTAGATATTTTACAAATTGATTAGCTCCGGGAAATTAGGTGGCTATTCTCACACAATCTGAGTCTCGTTATTAATCTGCTGTCTTTTGTTTAATCACAGCACTCACTCTTGACTAATCAATACTAACCACTCCCTAACTTACAAATTCGATGACTTTATCCATTGCAAACTGTAAAGGTTCCCCGTTACGGCTTTAACCTAAAATAGTTTTGGGGTTGTGGAGATTGTTGAGTTACTTATTGAAATTACGATTCGATCAATGTTAGACTACCATTAGAAACCTGGAAGCACTGGACAACCGTTTCACCCTGGTATGGGACGCATCAGCAATGTGCATCCACGACTCCAGGATTCAAACCCAGGACCTCCGGTCTTGTGCGCAAACTCTTAACCACTGAGCCGGTATCTAGCAGTGCCAATGTCTAACTTTGATCTATTGACGGCTTTTGCGCTACCTCAGTCACCGTCTTCGATGAGCACTGTTTCACACCCGGATAGGGTGGAACTCCGCTGATCACAACTTCTCACTAGAACTGGAAGAAGATTTCTCACGTAACTAGTCACTAGTGAGCCAGGCAATTCGCATTATGGGGTTGTAGTGATTTTTGAGTAACTTACTGAAATCATGAATCGATCAAATTACCTGGATCACTAGTGACTAGCTCCATGAGGAATCTTCTCCGAGTTCTAGTTAGAAGACGTAACCGGGGAAGTTCAGTCCTGTTTAGTTGTGAAGCAGGGCTCACCTGTTTGTAATATGATAAAGAAGAGGTGATATTTTTGGGGAATCAATAAAGTTTGAGAAGTAACATAGATTATTATAAACATTTTTCGCAATTCAGTATATCTATATATCTATCTATCTATCTATCTATCTATCTATCTATCTATCTATCTATCTATATATATATATATATATATATATATATATATATATATATATATATATATATATATATATATATATATATATATAATGGACTGAAACACAAAGCCTCCGTTCATGCTCTGTAATCAAAATGAAAAACGAAATTGGTGTTATTTGAAGTTAGATTTCACTATGAATTAATATCAACTGAAGAATAATTGTAAGTCAGCTAGGAGTATATATATATATATATATATATATATATATTAATCTTATCTGATTTGGCCCTAATGTATCAGTGTTAAAAGTGCAAAGGAAAACTGTGTTCGGTTTTTTCGAAATTATCCTAATTCATTTCATTAAAAATATTCAAATACAATTAAAACTAAAAATTATTTATAACCTGAAAAATGTAAGTTATAGTATATGGAAGTTATTAATTATTCCTATGATGGCACTAATAATCGTAATCATGAACGAAAATGTACAATAGTAAGAACACATAAATAATTTATAGAATATTATGTGAATCATATGATGAGATTCATTTATTCTTGATGGTATTCAAAGGGGTAACTATCAAATGGATGAGTAAAAAAAACGGTGTACATTAATAAGAGTGATCATCAGAAAGGCGCCTAATAATAAAAGTAAGCGTTAAAAGGAGGAATAGCATTCTTTTAATGCTGTGAATTGTATTTGGTTGGCCTTCTGTTGTGGAAAATCTTCCTAAAAGGAACAATCTGGTGTAAGGGTTTCGTAGATGCCTTAAGCAAATTATTGGTTTTGCCCATCTTGATATATCACCATTTATCGATGCTTTGAAAAAAGGAACAGAGTCTAACTAGATTGAAAATCAAACAGTCTGTCTAACAACAGCGCTTAAATATGAAGTATAAGGAAGTAGAAGTATGTATCCACCTGGTAATAGATTATTAATACCGATCGATAATAGACTTTCTGTGTGAAATACCACATAATTTGAATATGCTCATCTAAACATGCTACATTGTGTTGCGAAAATTTCGTAATGGATATACCATTTATGTCTACATTTAATTGGTGTTACCCTATTTTATTGCTCTCTTTTGATATATACCATTGGATACCGGCCCAATGGTCCGATGGTTAGGCGTTCGGGCACATTACTGAAGGTCAAACTTTGGAATCCCGCGAGGCGCAGGAGTCGTGGATGCGCACTGTTGATGAGTCCCATACCAGGACGAAAAGGCCGTCCAGTACTTGAAGGTTTCTGATGGTGGTCTAACAATGATTGATTGATGATTTCAAATGTGCAAAAACACAAACCTCCAAAACTCTGACAGAAAATATCCTTTTTAGTCAGTGAATGTATTCTCGGGATTATATTATTGTAGAAATAAAACATTCTTTTAAGCTCAATAGCTACCATTGGTTCGGGGTTTCAGGCTCCAAATTTCAAATATCTATTTCGCTAACTCATCTCTGCTTATTATCCCTCTTAAATCTTTCGGAAAATATAAACAGTAGTAGACAAATTCAAGGGTTGAATTAATGTTGAGTAACGACCGAGAAGTAAAAAGAAAAATAGTAAAATAAAATGATTCATTTAAGAAGTAGACGGACAATGAAGAATAAATTAAAAAACATGGAGGTAGTTATTATGACAAATGACTAAAACTTGAAAACAATAAAGTGTCAACAATCGATTGGTTAGGTGTTAAAAGTTAGGTATTCGAGTCTTGATATGATGACAGCTTGGCATGACACTCTTGCTCATATAATTTAGGTTTGAAACGACAAAATGCTGCCAACTTTGCTGCAAAATTATCTATGAGATATTGTTATAATGTAGTTGGATTTGTAATTTAAGCTAGTGAAAAAAATTTGTTTAAAACTTTTTGCTTGTCAAGTGTAAATCTGCGTATGTATTTATTAAGAATAAATGATAATCTGACTTAAGGTTCACTTAACATGTCCCACTGGTTCATCTATTTACTTTTAAATAAAACCTAGTCATTTGGTTCTTATCATCATATACACCAACTATCAACCGTTTATTAGGTTTCACTAGAGAACACAGAAGACAATGTTTTCAGGAATACATATGATGAAGAATGCCCAAGTATGGCTTTTTTAATTTTAAACTTAAGGCATATGTTTAGTTCCTAAAACTTATAAAACTCACTAAATATTTCCGAGACGCTCTTCAAATTAGACTGTCTTATAGCTGTTCGAATTAGGCGGAAGAAATAACACGATAATAAGAATAATAAGAATAACAAATTGTTACCAAATTCGAAAGATTACTATATATTTTGAAAGTGAACTTTTCATCATAGTGTGGTGTGCGCTACTTATAAGTAGTATATGACGTGAGTGTAAACGTAATGTCTGGCAGCATAAGATGGAGGAAGATCAAGAAAGGAAGAGTAGGAACAAAATGGAATTTGTATGAGACGCATGAATAGTGAAATGTCAGACAATTGATTGATGATTGATTGAAGATTTGCAAATTAACGGTTACGATATGGTTTTTCTATTTTACTGAGTAACTCTGTAATTTGCGTTAAATACAATTCGGTCGCCCTCACCTGTGTTCTCCTTCACTACAATACTTTTAAAGAACTACTTTTTGATTGGTCGTAGAGTAGAGGAATAGAGGGTGAACCAAGTATATTTTACGTCGTCAGAAATGATATTCCTTATTCCAACGCTCACTTTTATAAATGTAAACTTTTTGATGGTCGCCCTTATCAGTCTGCTATCTTTTGTGCGCTCCCCTACTAGTGTGAATTATTCTTAATAAGGATACGTATTTTGAATATTTTTTCCCCAAATGAGGACGTTCTGCTTTTAATAACACCCCTTTATTGTGTATACAATTGAATCAGTTTAGAATCATCCTATTGTTTTAATTATATTGAAGGATAAAATTTAACTTCTTCAATGAGCTTTCAACAAGATTTTATCTATATAACATCAGAAATTTTCTGTCTTCGTTAAATGTATCTTTGATTAACGAAAACACTTTATCCTCATCTGCACTAGCTAAACAATATTCATATCATTTGACGATAGTTTACATCATAGAATAACTTCAGGTTAATAGACATTTAAAACCGGAGAACATTAGACAAACGTTATGCGCATATATATGACTTGTCAACATTACGCACTCATAATACGCTATCTGTTGAGCCGCGGACCATAATATTTCGATTCCAGTACGTTGGTGTTAGACCAGTGACTTGGACGCCAATGGTTCACATTTGAAACTTGATTTTATTTACGGTATTGGGTAACCGTCATCTATCGCGATTGGCATTAAATATCTTCCCCCCCCCTAACATACCTCCCATTCTAATGATTACCAATTGTTCGCTAATAATTGACTGACTGAAGAATTCTTAAATAAACTAAAAGCATTGAGACTAAGCTTCGAGGTTTCAATCATACATTACCAATGACATTAAATGTTAGTCATGTCATCTCATCAGTTGTCAAAATGATTCATCTTCACAAACTTCCCATTCGAATAATTGATCACATATTTACATTCATCACTTATCGATGAAAGATAAGCATTATACTATAAACACTATAAACAGTTGTGACCATAAGAATTATTAGTTTTATGACCTTGATCTTTACTGAAACAAAAGTACTCAGAAAGTCACGAGATTCCCCAAGTACAACCAACATACATGTAATCTGTTTAATGATTTTATCAAATTAACTAAAGTTTATCTGATAATAAATAAAAATTATTGTCAGTTATTTTTCATTTCAATTTTTCTACAATATTCACATCAATGAAGGTGCACACATAAACGTGAATGTTTTATACGGAGGAAATTTATCAATCATAATAATAATAATCACGGTTTTTCTCTACAAAAACAGCTATATTAAAGAGTGAAGAAGTTCGAGTGGTTTTTTTAAAAAAAAATTAAAATCCCAATTATTAATTGATTAAAAGTGAACTGCATGGCTAGTTCACAAATTTTAAATTTTATTAATAAATCAAAATAAATTAATTAATTGATGACAATCAAATAGAAGATGCAATTAAGTTTTTTTTTTGTTCAAAAAACAAAATGGATTGTAACAAAAGTATTGTACTTTTTTCTTCCTGGATGAATAAATCAAGTTTATTTCAGAATCAATTAAATTCTAAATAAATCGCTTTCATATTTTTTTATTTTTTATACACAAATTTTATCTGTAATTTTTGAAGTACTTGACAATTTATTTATTAATCAAAAGAAACTGACAGTTGTTGTACTTTATCGGAACATCAGATTTAGAATAGAATTTTTCGATAATGCATTGTATATTCGGCGAAATTATCACTGGTAAATTTAACTGTTTGAACTATTTGAAAATGTTTGTCACGTTCGGTATTCGAATACTTGACAAAATATCCCCCTTTTTTTCATCGACTAAAGTCGAATTAGAAACTCGTTTTCGTTTCTCTGTTTAATGGATCAGTTTTACACAAGAAATTAATGAAAATTATTAAAAAATTATAGTGTGATATGTACCGCTTAGTTTTTTTTAAAATTAAAATAATTCATCAGTTATAAGTGAATAATTGTTCTTTCCTCATTGTATTCTTTTTTTTTCTCCACAAAGGTTTCCTTTATTTTTGGGGAGTTACTTTTATGGTGACTAATACATTGTTAGTGTTATTTAAACATGAAAATGGATCAAAATTGGACAGTGAATTTAGAAATTGTTTAAATGATCTATTTGGTAAATTATTCAAACGAATAACATTATCGAATTCACCGGAATCACATCATCAAAATCATAATTGTACACACAATAATAATAATAATAATATTAGTAATAGTAATAATAATAATGATAATTCAACATTTCGTACTGACATCATTATATCAGATTTGAATAATGCCAATTCACCTTATCATGAACAAATTCATGAAGAAATTGATGATGTAAAAGTATCATTAAATTCAAAAAGTTCCTATCAAACAAAAAATCACTATCTACAAGAAATTAAACCAGCAAAAGATACAACGAATCTTGAATTAATTTGTAGAACAAATCAAATTTCACAACATCATGCAACAAATTATCAAAGTAATTCTATCAAAACTAAACCAACTAATGTGAATGAATATTTGACTGAATGTCTTCAAGCCAGCGGTAATGATGATACAAACGAAATTGATCGAAATCATACATCGAATAATAATAATAATAATCTTAAAAGAAATAGTTCAACAGATAATAAAACTCAACAAGAGATTGATCTATCACTTATCGATACATATCGAGTTATGTTTGGTGTGATTCGATTGAAACCTGTTTGGCAATTTTTAATTTTATTAACTACTGTCAAAGTAAGTTATTGTTGATTGTTGTTATACCTGCGTCATTATTTGGTTTTATTGACAACTTTGTTTATTATTATGATGTATTCATCAATAATAAAGATGAAATAAATTTGTCATGAAATTAGGATAAAATTTAAATTCCTTTTTTTTTTACAATTTATGTTGCTTTAGTTGATTGGATAATAAGAAAAAAACGCCATAAAGCTACGAGTCAACACTTTCTGTTAGCTGGTGTGCTTGTCATCAAAGCATATCTAAAATCTTAGGGTGGTAAATGACGCGTCCTGAATGTTACAATTGTGATATGCTTGAAACTATTACGAGTTTAGCTTACTCGATAAACGGAACCTAGATCAACGATACAATGACACGATAGGCTATTCTACTCCATTTTTCACAAGCCCCGTTAACTAGATCAAGAAGTCTTGTTAAGGCGTGGAGAATGTATTCTACAAGCACTCAGAAAATACGAGGTGGCTAAGCACACAAAGCAAGCTTATTTATACAATGATGCAAACGCCCTTGGGAGAGCCAAAAAATAGCGTTCTAAAATAATCCATCAACCAATAATAGTCAAGTATTTTCAAGTGGGAAATGTAGGCTGAAGGTCAACTAACCGTCTCTGGCGCGAAAACGTAGAAATTCGATATTTCAGAATAAAATTACGAAATTAGGACTTTTTTCAAATGAGTTCTGGGAATCTAATGTCCCCAAAAAATCATCAATGTTATCACTAAAGTATTCAAACATCAAATAGCCTCTTGTAGGATTATATCAAATCACTTATTAGGATGTGATACATATATTTCAATTCAAAATGATCTACTTGAACAATAAATGTGAATCGTAAACTGAGTAACTGGTTATGTGTACATTTGAAGATTTTTTATTTAGATGCATTTTGCAATAATTATAGAGAAACTGATGAAAAAAACGAATAGGGATTTTCAGAAGTTTGATTGAATAATAAGCCTAATAAGCATATACTATGAAAGAAAAAAGGAAGTAAACAAAACAAGATTTCTTCAACGGATAATCATAATCGTTATGTTAGGATTTTTGTCAAAAATAAAGATGTAAATATATCGGCTTATTCAGATAGCTGTAAATAAAATGTTAGCTTATCTGGTAAATTCTAATAAATTTTTTCGTAGCCTATATTTTGATTCCAATCAGTGAGGATGTCGTTTCTCCCTGATTTTATTTTGTATATCTAATAATTTCGGCTAGGCTAATTGAGTTGCGGTGATTTTCAATAGGCAATATATTCATATAGTTGTAAGCAATCGTGTGTCTTACGCCAAATGATTCATTTAATTTTTGGATATCAGCTTATTTAGTTCATATACTTACTTAATTACTTGCGCTTATTACCCTGTTACGCTGACCAGCATACTGACCAACCTACTCTGTTCTCAGCCTTCCTTTACAGTTGAACCCAATCGCTGTTCATTCTTTTCACATCAGCTTCTCATTCTTGACATAATGTGTTCTATGGTGTTCCTCTTTTGCTATAGCCTTGTGGACTCCAAGTTAGGGTTTGCCTTATGAGGCTATTAGGTGTTCTCCTCAAACAAACAGACAACCGCTAACCAGAAAAATAATTCAAACTACTTAGTTGATATAGACAAAGAGAATACTGACAAATGGACATTGACAATCATGGATATCTACAAATCTACACAGATCAAATGTTGAAACCATTTACCGGATGAAAAAAACTTTAACGTATAAGATCACAATAACATACGGGAAGGTCAAATAAGTTCACACAATTATCGAAATGATGCTTATCATGTTTTAAATGTATACAAGCTCTCCTACCATATTTCATTCATATAAAAACATACATCATAGTTTAAGTTAAGTTGACAATTATCATTGTAATTAGCTAACCATCATTATACATTCATCGCCATTTGAAATGTTTTCGTTTATCATATTTTCATCCGACACTGCATATACACACTTTTCTATTTCAATATTTCATTTACATGAAAGTATTTAGGTAAAATTTTTAAATCTTTTTTTTGTTTGCAATAAAGTTATTTCATGCAGAATTAATCAAATAAAAAAACAAATAATTTATTCCAAATAATTAATTTTAGCCAATTCACTATAAAAAATAAACGGAGAGTATTTGAAATTTTTATGCGAAAAAAAATTAACCAAACTTCAATTTTTTTTATTTAATTATTTATTGAGAAAAAAAAGAAGTTAATACATTTTAAATGTAGCAAAAAAAAATTAAAAACTATGGCGTAAATAAGTTTATTATTTAGTTATAGTATCAATTTAAATTGAATGACATTTTAAATTCATTTTTATCATATTTTATTAATATTTCTCAATGATGAATGATGATTATAGCCAGTAGATGAGAAAGTTTATGCATACAATTCAAATAGAAATGTTGTACATTTCTAATTTCTAGGATAGAATTTAATTGAAACTGTTTTCTGTGTGTATAATTTCAAATTTTTTTTAAAAAAAGTTGAACGTTCATTAATTACAGTCAATCAAGACAAATTAATAAATTAGAGTGCTAACATATCCAATGCTTGTCGATAGACTTATACGAACAAAATCAAGTTTTTGTGTTCGATAATTAGTGTTCAGTAATTGAATATAAATAGGTATTCCACAGAGATTTAATAGTATAAATTAATTTTGGTAGTTGTTAAAGTTTCATCTTAAAAGGAAATAGTTAAAATGTTTCATAAAAACACACTTTAATTTGACTATTTCATGTGTTTATCAGTGGTATGCTTTGAAATGCCTTGCTTGGATTGTAAATAAAGAACTATAGTTAGAGTTAAGTTTTAATTATAGGAGTTCGGATAGATGTCAGCCAACCTATCCTTACTTTATTACTGTAAGGTCTCATACCTTATGTCTTTATCCTTCAATGCAACATTTATAATTTGGGTAGGTTTATACATTTGTTTATTCAATAATTATTCAGAAATTAAAAATTTCTTATAGCTTCATATTATTGAAACTTTAAAAGAAGTTTTGAGTTGATTTTATTATTCTGTCTTCATAATAACTAATATCATTATAATCTTTATTAAACTAGAGTTATAGAGATGTGTTTGTTGTACATTGAAATCATCAATCAGTCATTGTTAGACCACCATTAGAAACCTGCAAGCACTGGATGGGACTCATCAGTAGCGCACATCCACGAATCCTGCACCTCGCAGGGTTCGAACCCAGGACCTTCGGTCTTGCGCATGAACGCCTAACCTCTGGACCACTGGGCCAGCATCCAGTGGTGTTAATGACTAACTCTGGTCAGTCGTAAAATGTGCTCACTAGTGACTAGCTTCGTGATGAAATTCTCAGAGTTCTAGTGAGAAGACGTGACCAGCGGAGTTTAACCCTGTTGGATGTAGGCAGTAACTACCAAAGACAAATGGTTGAGGTCGCGCAAAATCTGTAGATTGATCGAAGGTCCTGAGTTTGAATTCTGCGAGGTGCAGTAGTTGTGGATGCGCACTGCTGATGAGTTCCATACGAGGACGAAACGACCGTCCAGTGCTTGCAGGTTTCTAATGGTGGTCTAACAATGATTGATTGGTGATTTCAATATTGTAATCTTCACTACTGACCCAACTGTTCCTGCCTTACTGGTAATGTTATTATTAATTGTATTTGGTATATATATATATATATATATATATATATATATATATATATATATATATTAGACCTGAACTTTCCCAAAATAAACAACACTAGCCAAATAAAAGTAAAGTAGAAACCTTGTTAATCTCAGTTGATTAATCAATAGTGATATGAATAATGTTATTTTTTTTTGATGAGAAATCTTGTTGACTGAAAAGAACTTAGGAATTTGTTTTCGGATTAAACACTTCTCAGGTCATCCTTGTCTGATGGACTAATAAAACCTAATCATCTCATTTGATAATCAATCATTTTGTTGATTCACATTGTTCAACATTTCCATTCATTTGGTATTGTTTATAACTAGTTTTGACAAGTCACTTCTTTGCTCTTTCCACAAATATATATATATATATATATATGTATATATATATATACAAGAGGATAACACTTCATTTTCACTAGTTTTTTGAACATCTCAGTTATGATTAATGAAATTGAAGGCGACCTATATGTCAGGATGAATATGATTTCTGTTGGATGACAGTTTAGCATTACATAATACAAATGTTGTTTATGTTGTTGGAATTGGACTGAATTTGATTAAAAACTAGTCGGTAAAAGAAACAATTTCCTGACATGCAGTTTGATTTTAATTCAACTGATTACCGTTACTGTTGTTGTATAGAAAAATGAGACAGAATTCAGTGTTTTTTTGTAAATTGTAATATTGTACTTTGTTATTAATCATATAGCGGAATCTGATATTGATATTTCCCTTTAAGTAATTGCCAGTTACTCTCTGCGAGTTACATAATATATGAGGATACTATTTTCTTTTTAAATGTTATCATAATTGTAGTGTAAGTAGCTTAGGAAAATCACAACAACAGACACAGGTCCTATATAAGAAACTGCGTATTTTCCAGCTGATAGTTTGCAAAAATGCAAGTACTCACGATTTATTGACTGGAAATTGTTGATGATAGTTCAAGGACCAAATTTTTTGTACAATTTAATTCTTATAGTATTCATGGAGAAAATATGAATTCATTATTGTTTGTTGGTGATGTTTCGTCATAAGCACTATATATTTGAACAGATAATCAACTTAGGAAAGATGGATGTATTAGGGTACAAAAACTATTAGAGTAGGTTATCATCTAATATTTTACGGAGTAGAACTGCCATGTATGTCAATTTGCCTTCGTCTTACTGAGCTTGATTTATCAAAGTGAATTGTTTAGAAAGTATTTTCGTAAAAAATTCAGGATTTCCGTCTGTCATTTTATGGCTTAAATTGATTGAAAAACATTCGTTGGCTAATATTCAACCCTATAGTCTGGCATTTATAACTCCATTGTTATCTCTGCTCA